AGATAAACTATTGTAGCTCATTGTATCTGTTCATCAATCAGTTACACAGATTGCAGCAAGGAAAGATCACACCTTATCGCTCAGTGATACTTAGAGAACCCTTTGATCTATAGTTGCATGACTCATTATTTCAAGAACTGGATGAAGTTGAGAGTGTCTTTCCTGGTTGCTTTATATTACCAAAAATAAGGTAGTCAAAAACTCAAGGTAATGTGATTGTTTAGATCCAAAATGCCCACTGAGACCCATGTGTTAAAGGTTTGGGCCCAATGCAGTACTGTTGAGAGGTGGTATAAAGTTTAAGAGTTGGGGTGAAGGCCTCTGAGGGGGCATGCTCTCAAAGAAGATTATGGAAATTTCCCGTTTTTCACTTCCTGACCATGAAGTGAACAGTTTTGTTCCATCATGAACTCCCACCACAATGTACTACGTCAGCCATAGGAAGCAGTCAATCAATCAGTTACCAGCTGGAACCTCTCAAACGGTGATCCAAAATACACCTTTTCTCTGTGTAAGTTGATTTCCTCAGGTATTTAGCATTCTGTTGGACTACTTTCTAACACAATTAATGAATGAATGTCAGAATAGGTAAAACAACATGTTTCTCAAGAGAAGTCTTCTGTGTCTTGGGAGTATACTAACCTTATCCTAACAATGGCTTTCTCTCCCATAACTATGCTTAAATTAGATTAAATCTATGTTAAAACCTTTTCTTTAAAATACTATAATTCTCCTGGCTACCCCACCAGAACTTGATGGTGAGACACTACTACTGAAGACACTACATACATGAGCTGTAGAACAGACAAGGAGAACTCAAGCTGGTGTCTAGAAAACTGTGGCTAGACAGGTCACAGGCCACAGAGGAGAGCCTACTACTATTATTCTGCTAATATTAAACTGCTTCCTAATGACTTATGGTTATACCCATAGATTAATGTATTTCTCAGCTTTCACCAGAGAAGCTTCCTTATACAGCAGACAGTGATCAACAGACCTACAATGTGCAGAGAAAAAGAGGCTGCAGAGTATTTAGCCATGATTAGGGCATGTATATCAAACTTCTGCCTCCCAGTGTTCAGAGATCATTGCAGAAGAGGGGACTGAACGTTTGTAAGAGTCTGAGGTAGTGGATAATCACAAGGAAACAGTTTTCCAGACAACTGGAATGTTACTCATAGGAACTCACAGCAATGGTGACAGCATGCACAAGACCCACTCAAGCTTAAGCCAGACAAATCCCAAAATACAGGTGGGGAAGTGGGTAATAAACCCCAGCCTTAGCTGATGAACTACTGGAAAATAACTGCTGAGAGAGGGGGAGCTGGTTTTCTTTAAGGGGGTGATGACAGATAGGGTAACCAGGATCCAGTGGATGGATGCACATTTTGCGTGTGTGTGTGTGTGTGTGTGTGTGTGTGTGTGTATAACAGTGCACATGAAGACGGACAAAGGGTAACGAGGGTGCAGGTGGGGCGGGGATCTAAATACAATAAAAATGTATTGTATGAAATTCACAAAAACTCAACTAAACAAAAAATAGAAATGTTACACACACACACACACACACACACACACACACACACACACTCGCTAGCCCTAAGGCATCATTTTCAAACTCGAAGACTTCTTTTTTTAAAAAAAAGATTGGCTTGGGGTCTGGAGAGATGACTCAGCAGTAAAGAACACTGGCTGCTCTTCCAGAGGACCCAGGTGTGAATCCCAGCACCCACATGGTAGCTAACAACCGTCTTAACTTCAGTTCCAGGGGATCCAATGTCCTCTTCTGACCTCAGTGCATACTACTGAGGGTATGGGTACACTTACTTACATGTAGGCAATACACTCATATACATAAAATAAAAATAATGAAATAAAAAATTGGTTTTAGAAAGTGTTGATTTATTTATTTTTGTATTTATTTTTTATGTGTAGAAGCATTTTGCCTGCATGTATGTAAGTATACCACAAACACGCAGTGTCTATGGAGGCCAGAAGGGGGTATCAGGTCTCATGGGACTGGAGTTACAGAGGATTGTTAGCCACCATGTGAGTGCTAGGAACTGAGCCCAGGTCCTCTGCAAGAACAGCAAGAACTCTTCACTGCTGAGCAATCTCTCCAGGCCCAAGTTCAAAGACTTCTTAAGGTCCTATACTGTCTAGTGTCCCCACAGTGGCGGGAGTAGAGTTTACCAGATATCTGCAGAGAACTATTACTTAAAAAGGAGTTGACAACCACATTTTAGATAAATGAGGAAACTAACGCTAGTAGAGAAACTCAGGCAATCAAATCTAGGCAGCTGGGATTACTGTCTACACAGTGACAGAGTTTTTTCCTTAGCTTAATTCATGACCTCTGAGATAAAAGGTGAGATTGATGGGAATCCATTCTGATTTAGTAGAGTCTTTAATATATTTCTTTGGCACGGAGAGGAGTTGAGTTTTGCAGTCTTCTTTCTCCATCAAAATGGAAAAATGATAAATTTCAAGATATTGTCTTTCAAATCGAAAACTGTACTGTAGAGTAGCATTCCATGTGTACAGATCTGATAGTCAGAAGTGGAATTACACCAACGTTTAATCCCCAGAATATGAATCGACATGTCACCCACTAGTGACTTCCTAACAAGGTGGCACCACTGTCTTCGTTGAGCCAGAGAAAACAGTCTACGTGCAGGTTCTGAGATGAACTGTTCCCCTATCATTCACATGCTGAAGTCAGAACTCTCAGCATCTTAGAATGTAGTTTTGCTTGCCAACAGTCTTCAAAGAGTAAGTTAAAATGAGGTCAGAAGGGAAGGCCATAGTCTAGAATACCCAGTATGCTTATGGGAAGAAAGAACAGGTGGAACATGGAGAGAAGACGGTCATTGATAAGCCAAGAAAAAATATCAACCATGATAATACCTTGATCTCAGATTTTTAGCTCCTAGAAATGTGAGGAAATGATGTCTCAGCAACCCAGTTGTGCTGGATAGCTTCAGTTGACAACGTGACACACCTGGGTAGAGGGCCCCTCAATTAAGGAATTTCCTCCATTAGATTGGCCTATGGTCACATCTATAGGACATTTTCTTGATTGTTGAGTGATATGTTAGGGCCCAGCCCACTGGGTTATTTTGCCACCACCAGGGCAGGATCTCAAGGCAGGAACTGAACCAGAAATCATGAAGGTGTGCTTCTTACTGGCTTGTTCCTCTGGCCCATGCTCAGCCTGCTTTCTTATACAACACAGGGCCACCTGCCATGGGGTGGCACCACCCACAGTGGTCTGGGCCCTCCCACATCACTCAGTAATCAAGAAAATGACCCACATACATGGGGCCACAGGCCAATTCAATGGAGGAAATTCCTCAATTGAGGTTCCTTCTACCCAGGTATGTCTAGTTGACAACACTATCCGGCACACCTGTCTAACAATTTTCATTATGGAGCCTAAAAACCATGAGTCATAGACAGACACCGCCAGGGAAGAATATTCTCCCATAAAATTTGACTCAATATGTACACCTCCATCCTACTTCACAAGGTCAAATGAAGTTCCTAAGTATTCTAATTAAGCACTCTTCCTGGGACCTGCATCCACATTATAGGCTACTGCACTTAAAATATCTAATTGGCCAGCTATTTTTGGTAAATTTACTATAGAAAAGATATCTTAGAGTCTTTAAAAAAATTGAAGAGCAAATTAATAATGAATTAATATTAATGGTAATATTTTACCCTAGAAGCATTAAAAAATTACATTAAAATGCAATGTATGAAAAGACCAACCAGGGATGTATTATAGTATTCATGTATTCATTATGGTAACAGCCTCACATTTCACTGAGTTTCTTAGGAGTCCTCGAGCACACAATGACTATTTTGCTATTAAACAAACAAAAGACTCTATGGTATTTGTGAATGTTGACAGATAAAATAATTTTCTAATGAAAAAATAAACAAAATTATTGATAATTTACATCTAAAGTGATGATCATCATCATTTATTTCTTACACAGAATCAATCAGCTGCCCAACATATATATTTATGAATTCTATCTTCTTTCTCTTCAGATCAAATCAAGGGCTGACAAATGCAAATTTTCATGTAGCAAGTTAATGGAAAATAACTTTTAGGTTCTGAGAGAAAAGCAACAATCTTAATTCTCTTCTTTCATCCTTGCATATTTCCGCCTCTACCAGAAGAATGAATAATTCCTAGTGTTTCAGAAATGTCAGCTCACAGCAAGTCTTCATAAAACTCATTAGTGCGCGAAAACATTGTCAAAATCAAATGGGTCAAACTAATGGCAGAGAAGTTAGACTAGAAGTTGCGAATGCTCTTTACAAATCAGTGAGCAACTAATTAAATTACATGTTAGTATCCTATAGCATCAATTATTTAAAATATCATATATGTGCATAACCACAATAGCAATGAAGTTAATATCAAAGGACAAATTAAATCCTAGTCATTGCCATTTGAATCCTTCTCAAACTGTCAAACCAGGATTACATTGATTATTATGAGCCAAAATTTTATTTTAGTTCACAGTAACACAAGATTTTTTATTCTTTTGATAAAAGTAGTCTAAGAAAGCCAGGAACAAGGGGAAGGAACTCTGGCCACCATAGGCTTCCGCGCTTGCTTCCTGGCTGAGAAGGTTACATGTACAGCCTTCATAGACTGTAGCTAAGCCTTAAAATAATGTTAAAATAACAGTTTCATCTTCTTTTATGTTCTCTTGTTTGTTACGAGTCCAATAATCTGGAAAGTCATTTACTTTCAACAATTACAATAAGTGCTTTCATTGGGGAAAGGATTGTGAAAGTACTTCAAAAAAATTCACTTTAGGGCTTGGAACATAGTTCAGTGGTAGAGCGCTTGCTGTAAAGCCTGTGCAAGTTAGTTACTAGGTTAGATTCCCTAGTATCACAAAAGAACAAAAAAATGAGTATATTAAAAATCAAGTGTATTATCAATAAAATCATTCATAGATCAATTATGAACTTACGTGTCATATACATTGAGTAACCAGTTGAGACACATATCCACACAGAGAGGAACATTGACCAGGTCCTTGTGCAATTGTTCGAGCCCATCGTAAGTTGTGGTCAGACAGTTGATGACATCTGGCACCGTCAGGAGCTGATCATTTTGGTTCAATTTGTGCTGCTTGAAAACTTCATTTGTTGTATTCAGCTCTAGGAGATCCACTAAGCAGGAGAGGAAAGGGAATTATGGACCGTCATTGCCTCTCGTAACTACATCAAAACAAATGCATTTCTAGTCTATGCTCGCTGGTTCAATGTAAGAATTGATTCTTTTCTGTTACGTTGAACTGTCAAAAGACTAACATTCCCAGTCTTATCATTTCCAACGTCTTATTTCATCTCCCTTTCTAAGCTTTTCAACTAAACTCTAGCTTTTGGACCCCCCCCTTTTTTTCTTCTTTGAATATCAATTTTTCCTTCTTTTCTAGTATTCTTACTTTTAGGCCCTTTGTGCTTTTCAATATAGAAAGGTGTAAGTCTCTAAATCTATTCCAAATGTTAGAACATCCCAACTACTGCAATTCTGGCCTCATCTCAACTCCCAAAGACAGCCTCTTCACCACTTCCCACTTATCCTTTTTTTCTAATTATTTTTAGGTTTTCTAAATTTATTTTAAACTGATACACATAGAAACATCAAAGTTGCACATATTGATGAGGTGCTATGTGGTGCTTCAACACAGGTACAGTGTTGGGGTAACATTTATCTCCTCAGACATTTATCATTTAAAAATTATTTATTATTTTTATGTGTGAGTGTATGCCTGCATGCATGCAACACACCCATATCATGCAATGCACACAGAGGACAGGAGAGAGCATCAGAGCTCCAGGAACCTGTGTTATGGACAGTTGTTAGCCACCATGTGGGTGCTGGAATTCGAACCAGGGTCCTCTGCAAGAGCATCCAGTGCTCTTTAACCACTGAGCCATCTCTCCAGCCCCACAAACATTTATCGATTTTTTTAAATAGGGAAAACATTCAGAATCCTTTATTCTAGCTCTTTGAAACACAAGGCACATATTTGTTATCTATAGTCACCCTACTCTGCAACTGTACACCAGAACCTTAGTTCAAATTACAACCTAGTCTCATTAATCAGCCATTTTTCATATCACTACAAACTAACCATTCCTTAATGGGTTTATTTTAAATGTACATCATGAAATAGAAAGTTCACTTAAGATTCTCAGTTAAAAACAAAAGAAAACAGGTTCTACAGAATATTAACAGTTCTCTACCACCTGAAGAGAATCAAGTTGGAAGCCTGATTAACCAGCTTTCACAATGTGGCCTAATCTGGTTTACTTCCCCTGCAGCTGTGCCATTTAAGTACTCTGTAGTTAAGGCGGATTCACAGGTTCACTGATCACACTGGTCTTTACAACGTTTATTTGCTCCTATCCTTACTCTTCACGTGTTAAACATCTGTAATGGAAAAGGCCAGTGCCAGGGCATGTAGGGTGTGCATGGAGCCCTTTATTTTTCACAATTTGTTTTTGCTTTATTTTTATTTTATGGGAATGTGTGTATTGCCTACATGTATGTAAATGCACCCACACTGTGCAATGCCCACGGAGGACAGAATAGGGTATTGGATCCCCTGGAACTGGAGTTACGGACAGTTGTTAGCTGTCATGTGGGTGCTGAGATTTGAACCTAGGTCTTCTGCAAGAACAACCAGTGCTCTTAACCCCTGAGTCATCTCTCTAGCCCCTGGAGCCCTTTCTCACATAGCATCTTGGTAACTTTACTGAAAGGAATAGCAAAAGTGTAGAAGAGAAGAATGTTCAAGTCTCTCTGAGAACAATTTCAGGGTAAGTATCCATGATCAGGAAGGCTCAGGAACAGAAGTATTTTGTATTTTCTGTTTTTCTAGATTTGTATTTAGGAAACATTTGCATGTACTCAGTGTGCATATTGGGGGTGGGACCCCAGTCCAAACACAAAATTCATATTTCATATATAACTTATGTATATAGTTCAAATATAACTTTATGCAGTATTTTTAATGTGTCTGCCATCACTTAAGGTCAAGTATGGAATTTCCCACTTGTGGCACCATGTCAGTGACCAACAGTTTCCAATTTTGGAGTATTTCAGATTTCAAATCTTTGGATTCGGAACACGGGGCATAAGGACAACATGAAAAGGCTTCACGGGGAGATGGAACAGAAATGGGCCTTGAAAGATAGGTGAGATACAAGAGATCCTTGGAAGCAAGGAAGGAATCCTAGGAAAGGATAGTCAGAAAAGCAAAGCCTCAAGCTAGTCCAGGAGTCCACAGGGGCGAGCAGACTGCAGTGCACAGTGACACAGGGTGGGGTGTGGTTACACTGAGGCAGACACGCCAAGCTCTGGGGTGAGGCACACATTGCACACAGAGACCAAGAGGTCTACAGACAAAAAGTAAAATCTTCTTGTTCCTTAAAAATCAACAGAGTTACTCATTAGCTAGCTTCTAGCAAATCAAAGCAGCTTATCAAACTACTACCTATTTACTGAGTATGGAAATGATCCAATTCTCAACATACTGGCATGGGGAATTACAGACCAGTATTAATAAGGTTTACTTATGGAAATCACCATTATGTAACAGTTCTGTTCTATTTCCATATTTTACTTTTCAGCACTGAAAAACATCTCGGTGAAGCTTAGACAAAACAAAAACAAAAACAAAAACCGTAAATTACTACTTCTTTGCCCAATTTGGGGGCGGGGGGAGAACTATTCCACTCAAAATAGGACATATTTTGACAATTAACCAAAATGAATGAACAACTTCCTTCATGCCTACCTAGTTCTAGCCATTGAATAACCACCAATTCCAACTTTTTAGGGGCATTTATGAAATGTCCATGCTAGCTGCTTATAATACAGAATTTTTATTTTCAAGTTGTCTGTTATGGAAAAGAACTGCTTTAAAATTATACAGCCTAACAAAATTCCTAAAAAAACTGAATGGGGAAAACTTTTAAGAAAGAATCAAACATAAGACATAACAAGTCTGAATAGCAGGCCAATCCATTGTTTTTAGATGTCAAAGATATTATGTTGCTAACGACAATTTTCATAAGTGTCCAGTGAACTAAAAATGGTGTCAGACAACAATGAAGGGAAGTGCTTAATAAAGACAGTAAACTGCAGAACTTCAATTCCCCTCAGACACACAAAAAATGTGTTCAAATACTGCCAGAAAGCCCCATACTAATTATGCAGCCACACAGCACTGCTACTGGATCCCTGCAATGGCAGGCAGTAACAAGAGACCAGATTTCAAAAAGACCATTTCTTGGATCAGCCTGTCCTTCACTCCTCCAGAGAACCCTCCCTTGTTATCCACTCAGTAGCTCTGACAGTAATTTGCCAGGTCCCAGAGAGGATCATGTCTTCAATTTTCAGTGATTTACTCTGACACTTTGCCTTCGTGCCTAAGCCAAGCATGCATCTTCCCCAAGTGTGTCACACTGAGGTACCTTTAAAGAACAGACTACATTTAAATCACATAAAAGTTATGATTTTTGTCTTTTCAGAGGGAGAAAAATGACAGCTCTGTCATGCAGTATGTGAAACAAACAGGCATCTCATTTTCTAACCAACTTTCACACCTTTTCCTTTTCTCCCACATATGAGGCACAGGGGGTCAAACGAAAATGCATCGTCATCTCCTGCCCTGCAAAAAGGAATAAAAATTAAACCAACTCTGTTGAACGCCTGACCTTGGGCTTCCTGTACTCTTCTCCAGGTCTTGGCTTGCTTGAATTTTCTTAGCACCTTCCCACGTGCTCTCCCTCAAGCACAACAGAAACACTGTGGCATTCAAGGCAGATGTGATCCAATTTTGAGGCATAATGCCTCACTCCTTCATGACTCCCCTGGTGACATCTCTGAATGATTCCACACTCGCCTTTCTCCTTGTCTGCTGATATATACCAGATGCCCCTTCCTGTTGCTGAGTCCCCTACTGGAGAGCTGTTAACCATTCTCTTCCAGGAACCTCTACCATGGTGTGTTTCAAACCAAAGCCTTGCCTTCTTCTGAAGTTTGGTCTTCTAGTCTGAGGATTTCATAACACCTTCCATCTTTCACCCTTTACTATTTACCAACTACCAGCCCCTTGAAAAGCAGATCTCCTCAGGGTGTCTTAAGAATCTAAAAGAATTCATAAGAATCTAGCCCTTCATCTCTTTTCCTCATACCACTAGGGCAGCTCAGCCTCCATCATCTTTGGGCAGAACCATCTACTCCAGTCCCTCTGTCCTTCATGCTAACATAGGACCTAGCATACACAGACTCCTTATTGTTACCTTCAGACTTTCATAAAACAGGAAATGATTATACAGCTCCCCATTCTATACAGAAAGAAGGCCCAAACTCTAGAGTCAGTATTATGAGAGCATGAGGCTCAAAATTCTAAACATATCAGAAATGGTTTCAAGCCACTACACACCTGTCACCCTGTAACTGTGGTGAGGAGGCAGGAGAATGTGAAGCTCAAGGTCAGCCTAAGCAGCTTAGTAAGTTTCAGGTAGCCTGGGCTACACAGTAAGACCCTGTCTTGATAAATAACAATCGATGATGATGATGATGATGATAATTAATAATAACTCAAAGTTAGAAACTGTTTCAAGAAAAAAAAAAGACCTTCAGGTTGGAGATTGTTCAGTGGTTAAGAGCACTGGCTACTCTTGCAGAGGACCTGGGTTCGATTCTCAGCACCCACATGGTGGCTGTAACTCCATCTGTAACTCCAGTTCCAAGGGAATCCAACACCATCGTCTGGCCTCTGCAGACTTTGCATGACATGGGTGCACTTATACGCATGCAGGCAATATATTCATACAGATAAAAAAATTATAATAAGAAAGGAGGGAAAAGACCTTTCAACTAATGTAAAGTGAATTTAAAGAGATATCTGGATATTGGACAAAGAGCTAAGCTATTCCATCAGACCCTGTTACCTGATGCTCTCTGACCTATATCCAAGCCTCTGATTCAGGTGCATCTAGCTTTCTCACTTCTTATCCCAGATCAGTACCTATGTGCCCAAATCCAATGTGCATTTTATGGCTGAGCAAATACAATTGTCATGCAAGACATGGGCCTTCTATGCTCCTTCTAAAGGGACTGCTTCCTTCTCAGACACTATTTCTATTTGATTCTTTGCTACTGCTTACTACAAAAGATTTTGTTAACAAAACAATATATATGGATATACCATATATAAAATGCATAGTGCAGTTCAAGGAAAATTGTAAGAAATGTACAAACCACTACACAGATAAAGAAAAAGAATGGTACCAACATTATCTGTAATTATGACCTGTCATAATCACAGGGATAAGTGCTAACCTTCAAAAAATTTTTTAATTAATTTGTTTTTATTTTATGAATATGAGTGTTTTGCATGCAAGTGCATCTGTCACATGTATACAATTCCCCATGGAGGCTAGAAGAGGGCATCAGATTCTCTGGAACTGGAGTTACAGGTGGTTGTGAGCTGCCATGTTGGTGCTGGGAACTGAACTCAGTTACTCTGCAAGAGCAGCCAGTGCTCTTAACTGCTGAGCCATTTCTCCAGCCCTATAACTGTTAACCTTTGCATTTCAGTTTTTAAAGTGCATTAACATTTCAGATATATGTGCCCTAAATAGAATAGCATTTAGTTCTGCATGGCTTTGAACTGTATGTAAATGGAACTGGACTGTATAGACTTCTTTTACCACTTGATTTTTTCCACCCAACTTTACAGTTCTCACATGCACCACACTTATGCTGGAGCTAGATCATTTGGTTTTTGGTTTTGTTTTGTTTGCTGCTGAAAAGTGACATTTTTAATATGCCAAAATTAATGAATCTTACCACTAAAAAGCACTACTCCAAATTTTGCACATCTTTGATGTAGTCCTACGTAAACTTAAAACTCAAATCATTTGCTCACTATATGCTAAGGGACTCCAGCTCAACACCAGAAATTATAAGGGGTTTTAGGCAGAGAAGAACACAGACTCTTCTCTCTCATAAAAATGAAATTCATTTGGAAAGGCAGACAATAACTATGAAAACAGAAGTTAAGAATCATGATTCTGACAATTTGCCATAGTGCCCAAGACAAGCATTATAGAAAGCATAAAAAACGATTGGAATGGACGAGATGGAGTTCTTAGGAATGTGTGACTTTAGAGGAACAGTCATGAAGACCTTATTAAATCATAGATGGCAGACTGAGACCTGGAGGAACAGCACACAACAGTGACAGAAGAGATGCTGATGGGAAGAGCTGGGACCAGAGCTGCCAGGAAGAACAGCATACAGAGTCTGTCCTGTCAGTCATCAACCTGAACTGATGGGAGCAAGGCAAAAGAGAGTGACAGAGAGGAGAGATGGGCCAGCCAAGGGCCACTCTATGCTAAAGGGGAAAACCTGTTAAAGGCAAGACCACTGTGTCCACCTGCAATGCTCACTCTGAACTTGAGCCTCTCAAGTGTGGGAATGAGTCTCTAGTCTTGCTTTATCTCCTAAGCAATCTTGGAGCCAAACAAATGAAAGAGGAATGCCACGTGTGTGCTCTTGTTAGGGCAAAATGCTGGGTGAGGATTTTCATGAAACAAGGGGTAACTATGAACTGAAAGCTATTTTGTGTGATCACAGAGCAGCTACCACGCATTACAGAAGGCAAGCAGGTGAAAACCTGTCGTTACAGGCCATCATAAAATACTGGAAAAATCAGAAGCAGGTGGGATGTGATTGTAAATGGTTCTGAAGAGGTAAATTTTTAACAGTATCAGGGAGGAATAAAGAGTTACAGAAGAGGAGTCAGGGCATTTCAAGTAAACAGAGAAAATGGGAGAGGAAGGGTTGATGGGCCATAAACAGCTAAGCTTATCAAGGAGGATATAGGCCCATGTTGGAGTACTGTGGGGGCCAGAGGCACTGGGAAAGTAGAAGCCTACTTAGTAGCTGAGGGGATATTCTCTCAAATATTAAAAATTGCACACAACCTAGCACTTTGCTAACTGCACACTACATAATGTTGTTCAGTTTAGAAACTGGAAGAGTCTCTTTTCTGCTCCTCTGAGGTTTGAGAATAAGATAAACATGAGGGTTTCTTTTGGGGGTCAGAAGAACCAATAGCAAACTCCAAAAGTCTGAATATGTTTCTCTACCCAAGAGTATTACAGAAAACTGGGACTATGTTCACCACGATACAAAACAGTCTTTGGCCAGTGGAAATTTTGTACCTGACTCATTCATTCTCATTTTATAGCCTGTCAGGCCTGGGAAGGCCTTCTAGACCTGTCATCTGGATGTTGGCACATAGTTGAGTGTCTTTTAAAAGTGATGTCTGTCACCACAGATACACTGAACAGATAGACAGCTTTCTGTGTGCCCACAATCTGCTCCCATTCTTCCCATTCAACATACAGGTCACTAGCCAGAGTGTGAGGGCTCCAGTGTTTGGAATAGTTCTACAGTTACTGTAACTACTGTAACCTGCTATCTACCTTTGAGGCTGGTATTAATCAAGTCAAGGTCACCCCATCCTTATTTTTTATGGCTTATTTGCAAGTGTTTCTCAGTTCTTTAAACGTCTCATTTACAAAGAACTTCAGTGCTCTTATTTAATACTTTCATAGCTATATTTTCTCTAAATGATCCTGCCTTTGCTCAATTCTCCTTATATAGTCAACTTAAAAATGTAATGGTTAAGAACACTGGTTGTTCTTGTAGAAGACCTGGGTTCGAATCCCAGCACCCACATGGCAGCTAACAACTGTCTGTAACTCCAGTCCCAGGGGATCCGACAGCCTCTTCTGTCCTCCGTGGGCATTGCACAACACGGTGCACTTACCTACATGCAGGCAATACACGTATACACATAAAAATAATGAATAAAATTTTAAAAAATGTAATGGTAATTTCTACTGAGTTTTTTTAAACTTCATTTTCTTTATTTTATGTGTATCTGTGTGCATGTATGATTTATGTGGGCATGTGCACATGTGTGCAACTACGTGTGTGTTGAAGTTAGAGGACAACTTTCAAGAGCCTGTTCTTTCCTTCCAATATGAGACCCAGGGATCAAAATCGGGTTGTCAGATTGTGTGGCTTGTGTACTTTTACCTGGTGAGCCATCTCATCAACCCTCTATTGGCATTTAAGGACCCAAAATTTCAACCCTAGCATACCATTTTCTGAGGATAATTTTCAAAGCTTCTCTGAAACACCCAGGCATCTAACAAACAGCATTAGCAAAGGGCAGTGAGTAACTATATGGAAATTTCCAAATTTCTGTCTTTAAAGTGTAGGTAAGTGTTACTTTGCATAATAATATCTAGCAAGGGCTCAATATTCCTTGGGTAGACTCAGTCATCCAAACTATAAGCACAGATAGAATCCAGAGAGCCTAAATCTATCTCCAAAAATTCATGTTTGTTTAATTTTATGTTATTCTGTTGGGGGGATAACCTTTAGGTAAAATGACGGCCATAGCATGCCTTCCATAGGAAAGTCTCATTAATGATACCCTATTACTTTGATTCAATGATTTAATACTTTTAGCATCATTTTTTAAAAAGTTTTTCACATCCTTCCTGTGTTTTGGGTAATTTTGCACTCCAAATACGAATGGCATATGTTTATCTATGTTTACTAGTGCACAGTGCAGGGCCATCCATGAAGCTTTTATAGAAACACAGCTAAATTTTTAATGAGGGACAATGGAAATGCAGATTAATGCTACAAATATATCATCTGCTTTGTTTCTCTTTGTCTTAACAAAAACAACCAAGGCAATCCAAAGGACAAGGTGGTTAACAGTGGGAGGATAACTCACAACATAATGCTTTCTGCAGTCTTCGGATTTTGATTGCAGTGCGGTAGGCAGAGAAACGTACATTATTCAGATCAGCTGAAATGGGAAGGAACAATTTAAAAGCATGCTTATTACTTAACTTGTACTGAATGCCAAGAATGAATATATTTGCTTATTTTGGATCATGGAAAAATGTATGTTTATAATTTTTAAAATTCTCCTAAATTTCACATTTATGAAAATAATCAAATGATCATTTGCACCATGTTAAGATATATTCAAAGCAGTGCTGTGCAGAAATTCCAAAAAAGCACTTTGAAATAGGTGGTGGGTCTTGAAACCTCTATGTGCTTTGTTGTTTAAATTGAAGAAGACCGAAAGGCTTGAGGCATGAGGACTTTTCCGATCCCCACTCCTATTCTTTTTCCCATGAAGTAAGTCACAGAAATCAGAATTTCTTTTCCCAAGATAAGTCATAAAAAGTTGGAGGCCTCTTTCTCAAAGTAAGCCATAAAACTGAAAAAGGTCACTCTGACCTTCTCCATTTTGCCTTAGAGATCTTCATGTGACATGTCCTGACCTACACATGCAGACAGGCTGAGCAGAGTCTGAACACACAGGCTGAGCTAGCTCCTCTCTGTTTACCATTAGATCACAGCCTTTTGTCGAATCACACTCCCTCACAGATTCATCAAAACTATGTGGAAAGACAGAAAGCTTTCCGAGGGGACTTGCTTCATTTCTCAAGACTCTTACCTGACACAAAACTTTGATCAAATAATGATGTCCTGCTTTTCTTCAGTCAACCTGCTTTGTATTGTAGGAGTAAAGCTGTGACCCTTAGGATGCATGAGCATGGTTCACAACTTTCTGCCCCATGTAGGAAAAGGCAGAAAAGGGAATAGTGACCACTGAGGCCTATTAAACTCCTCTACCAACAGGGGTCCTCCCCAGGGTTATTTTCCCCAAAGGACATTTAGTTTCCTGTCAAGCAGTCCATCTTTGCACTCATACGGCTGTGTTATTCTGGGTTCTTTCCACCTTGATCCACTTGCTTCTGTCCTAGTATCGGTTAAAATAATCTGATAATCAACATTCATACCTTCAGAAAGAATGGAAATTATACTTTCTTCCTCTGTCCCCTAAAGATTGAGTATCAGACTAGTAGAGTTGGAAGAAAACTCAAAAAATGGCCAAAATTTGTCTCAGTCTTATAAACTAAATCTGTGATTTTCTCTTACTTGTTTGATTTCTGAAGCCTCACACAAAACCAGGGCACATGCAGGAGCGTGAACCTCTTTTAGAAATGGGACAGAGAGGCACAGGATGGTGCTCTCTCCCTTTAACATCCCCTCAGTGTCCCAAAGAACAAACTTTAAAATCACTGGATCAGCCTGAATAAGGCTGTCATCATCTACCGACAATTAACCCAAGAGCAGAATTCTTGCATTTTTCTAATAAAATGAAATTAGTTTATAACTTAAAATTAGGTAAGCTAATTGGATAAAAATTTCCTATATAGAATGAGAGCAAAAAACAGATTTAAAGAAACAGATCTGAGGTAATTATGTTGTCACTGTATTTTTTTTTCCAAACAAAGCTGAAATGTAAGATGAAATCATTTATTACGAGAGAGGTAAAGCTTACAACAATCACATTTTTTTTCCTGCCAAATGAACTCTTTCTGGCTGGTGCACTTCCAAATCACACACTCCCTTAAGAAGAAAGGCAATGCTTGTTTTGTGTGTTGCCCTTAGAAGTTCAACTGCTTCCAAATCTCACTCAGAACTCTTGCATAAATGTCATGACTTTTTCTTGATATGTCATGGCACGATCCCTTCATGCATGTAAGAAGAGGAAACGACTATCTCTATGTCCTTTTATGAATACCCAGATTTTAGTTGTCACAACTAGATAAGGTAACACTCACCAAGGGATTGAAAGAGTTCAGTCATCTTAGGATGATCCCAACATGTTGTCTGTGTTTGATGGCTGGGGTTAAAAAAACAAACATGTAAGCATGAACAAATGACTACAAAATACAATATGATCTATATTCCCCCAAATTCAAATATGTTTAAAAACATTTTTAAATATACATGAAAAATTGTCCTCATCATGAATCACTCAGAAACCCAATGCTCAATTATTACTTAACATTCCAAGCATGTGTAATAGGGGCTGGTGAGATGGCTCAGTGTTTAAAAGCAAGTAAAGGCTTGAATTAAGATCAGAGTTCAGATTCCCACATAAATGCTGGGTGGGTGTGGCAGTCTACCTGTAATCTCAGAACAGGGGAAGAAGAAACAAGGGATCCCTGGAGCAAGCTAGACTCTGGCAAGTTCTGGGTTCAAGTGAGAGATCCTACCTCAATATAAGGGGAAAGCAATCCAGGAAGATACTTGACATCAACCTCTGGCCTCCACATGTACATTTGTACATACACACATGCTCATATACATGGAGACGTGTATGTACACATAGATATCACACACACACAAGAGTTAAAGAAAAAAACCCATACAAGTAAAAAAAAAATCCCACACAAATAATCAATTTTATTTTAGCAACTGTATTATGAAAAGATAAAATTCTGTTTTATCTATTTCAAAAAGAATTGCAGCTATAAAATGAAGTCTAGATATAAAGAATGGCTGTCAGGGACCCTTGGGCCCTGGACTTGATATAGTCATGTTAATGTGGGTTCCAGAATAATCTGATTCCTGTGAGGCGGACGTAGATGTTCTGACAGCAGAAGAGCTATGAAAAGTTACCACACTTCAGAAGCCCTAATCAAAAGTCTAGAGACCAGAGGAAGGAGAATCTAAATTTCAACACCATCTCCCTTCCCTGAAATCTGCTGGGCCTTCCTCCTCTTCAACCTCGGCTCTCTCCTTCCTCAGCCCCTGACTCCCCTGAGGCAGATGCCCCTCTACTGACATTTTGACTCTTCTTTCTCTCAAAAAGAAAAAAGGAAGAGTGGTAAATTAGGTCCTGTGTGTGTGTGTGTGTGTGTGTGTGTGCGTGCGCACGTGCAAATGTGCATATGTTAAAACGCTAATTCTGATGGCTTAGTGTCTATATTTAAAAATAGTTTACTATTCCTTATCTAGGTCATAATAGAGTAATAACATCTAATAGTACTCCAAAGACTTCTTAGATAACACTAAGTTCTTACAAAACTGTTTAGTAAGCCAAGTAAAATAGCACAGTACATAAGAGATATTAAATATTCATAAAAACAAGTTGAAGAGAAATCATTTGTTTTATAACCTATTTAAAATATTAAAAAGTAGCTCATATTCCTGGTAAAAGAACACAATTACTGTCATGTGTACTGGGGGAAACAGAACTCCCCAATAATTCATAATTTGGTTCAATAAATATATCAAGTTTATGTCTGAAAACAAGTAAGTGAAAGATCTTAAGAATCTCAACAGAAATATGATACAACAGATTGACAATGGGGAGATATGTCTTGGAATCAAATGGAAAGCTGTCTGGCTCCTCTGCTTGTATGTTTAACTCCAACGTAGAGGGGCAAATATTTCCACTTGACCTGAACACAAACAGAGCCATGCAACCCTTTATCTCCCTTGCTATAAAGACCATGAAGCAAGTGCTAAAGTTGTCTGGCATAAAATCTAACTGTTCATGGTATGGTCATGAGCTTTGCAGAAATGAATCACTAATTACTAGTAAGAGTTAAACAACAGTCTGCTGAAAACGCCTCCTAACTCCAGCATGTCACACGGGCTCCCAATCTCAGAGTCCTGAGACTCAGTGGGTGTCTTATCTTTTATTTCAAGCAATTTCAGTCCCCATTGGCAACACTAATGTCCAAAGACATACATCTCATTCTGATGAGCCGAACCAAGCTCACAGGTCAAATTAAAGCCCTCAGTAAGAGTCAGACTTCATCCTTAAACATTAAGGATGCATTCTCTAGAACCTTCCCCTCAGACAGCCCTATGGGCAAAATACCATTGGCCAGTCAAGCAAACAGTTGAGAATTCCAATCTAACAAGCACCTGCTGATGGCTCTGTGCCTAAACTACTCTGTCCTGGGAGCTGAGGGAGTACACACATTTGGCAAACATATGGGGGAGGGAGTCTCTTTTGTGAATTCAATACCAGTTGACTCATTAGGCAGAACTGCAAACGCTGAAGGTAAACACAGCCTCTGGTTAAAAGGGTAAAACTTGGTTTACCAAACAACAGATTTAAGAAAAGGGTGGGGGAGTAGACACCCTGGCTGTTCAATTTCTCTTTCCTTTTTAAGTGGGGAAAGGGGGTCAGAACAAAATCCACAGCAAACCATAAGGCTCCAAGTATTTGAACAGCTGCAGACTGCTCAGCAGCTCTTGCCAAAACACTTCCAGTTCTCCCAGAGTGGGCAACCAAAACAGAAAGTGGCATTTCCCCCCTCAAAGTAACAACAGTTCAGCTTCCAAGTAATCTCAAATCTGAAAGGGGAGCACTGAACACTGCACAGCTCCATAAGCGAGACCATGCCAAACCGTAACTTTGTTATTAAAAAAATCCCATTTTAAAAATGTCCTTGGTCTAGGAACTGGATAAAATGAAAACTTAAAACTCTAACACAGCAGTGATGAATACTGGAGTTCAAAATCTCAGGAAGCAAAGGGTCCTGGGAGTGTGTGACATCTCACCAGGGTGGCCAAAGCCAACTCAGATTTTCCTCGGTAGGGAATAAACTGTTGAACACTTTTCACAGGGAACAATTTACTGAGTATCTTGTGAGTTATTTTAAACTCCAAGAAAAGTGCTCACCATGCAGGGCTCTCTGTCCATAGAAATGCAAATGGTGTCCTCTGGGATATGAGGGATTACTGATTACTTTGTCAGCTTTGTACCTCTAAGTAAATTCATCTTGGTATCCCTTAACCCACTATGAAGATGTGGCTTTCTGTCTTCTCTGGGCCTGTTATAACGTCTTTCTGGCTTTCGTATTAATGAGTTCAATGAAAGATGATCACAAGACAGACATCTTGCTTGTCTAAACGCTGACATTCAGCCAAATACACTTAATTGTTACTATTTATCCAATGTTATGCTTCAAACTAGATTTCATGAGATTTATTATCTATCATTTCATTCCAATTATGACTACAAAAGCACAAGCTAAAGGTGAGAGACTTAATTAAAAACACTTGACACAAGTTCTTACTATTTGCATGGAAGTCAATGTTTTATCTATTAATTTTGAGAATTAAACTTCAACACCTTGGCCAGTCCATTCTGATGTGATCCACAAGGACTTTGGGGGTAATTATAAGTAACTTTTTACCCAGATGATGCCTGGTTTACACATGCTATAGATTTTAAAGAAATATTATACAGTAAGGTTAGTTAAGTAGTTGGTACCTCTGTCTACTATTATTCAGAATAAGTAATCTGGTAAGCCATAGAAAGTAAAATACAAATAATATAAGAAAGTGTACCAACAAATAAAACACAGAAATGCTCATCTACAGCTGAGAGATGGTTCAGTGATTAAGAGCACTGGCTGCTCTTGCAGAGGACCCAGGTTTGGTTCTCAGCACCTACATGAAGGCTAATAACTGTCTATAACTCCAGTTCCAGGGGATACAACACCCTCTTCTGCTCTCTGCATGTGCTGCTGCATGACACAGGTACACCTACCTATCTGCATGCAGGCAATACATTTATACACATAAAATAAAAATAATAAAAAGTATTTTTTTTAAATGCTGCATCCTAACACTGCAAAGCCACAATGAACCAATAGCAAAGTCCATGTACATTTGAAGGTTTGTTAATTTATTTATATTTATGTGTACATGTGTGTACCTGTGCAAGTGTTATGCCACAATGTGTATGGGGGAACTCAGAGAGGCTAGAAGTGGGGGTTCGATTCTCAGAGCTGGAATTTCAGGAGGCCTGAAGATGCTGTCAGAGCCCCTTGAGCTATAGTTACAGGCAGTTGTGTGCGGCCCAATATAGGTGCTGGGAACCAAACCCAGGTCTTCTGCAAGGTCAACAACTGCTCTTAACTGCTGAGCCATCTCTCCAGTCCCTATGTACATTTTTCCTTCTTTCTTTTTTGTTTTTCATTTTCTGAAACAGGCTCTCACTATGCAGTCCTGGCTGGCCTTGAGCTCACAGAGACCTGCCTACCTCTGCTTCCCAAATGCTGGGATTGAAGGCGTGTGCCACCGCACCAGGCCTTTATGTACTTTTGATAAATAGGAAATATAATGATTTCTGGGCAAACAACTACAGTGAGGAAGAAAAATTTTAAGCCTGTTTGTCCTCAAATAGCCTCATCCCCCTCCAACCCCAACTCCCAAAACCAGAAGGTATCTTCTTGTCGGAAAGCTGACATGTAGCCAAATGCACTTATTTCTTACTATATCAAATTCTATGCCTGAAACTAGATTTTCTGAGATTTTCTGTTTACCATTTTGTTCTAATTATAAATGTAAAAGCGAACAAGAGTAAAAATTAAAGGTGAATGAGTTAATTAAAAACAAATGTGGGGGATGGAGAGCTGGCTCAGCACTTAAGAACACTTGTTCTTCCAAAGGATCCAGGTTTGAGTCCCAGCATCCACATGGCAGGTAACAATCACAGAAACAGGAAGATTTCTTCCTTGCTAGACAAAGTGAAAAGTAACATACTAGCTCAGGATGAATAATATTAATTACAGTAATTGCCCATTATCCCAGTGCTCAAACTGTCCTTTCCTAGGTGTTAAAAACTCAATGCACATTATAAGGCTATCTATGATTCAGGTGACAATGGTATGTTTATTTTACAGATGGAGAGGGTAGAAAAGACTCTTAGATAGCCTGCCCAAGGCCACAGGCAAGGGAACAGAAATTGATGTGAACACAGATGGTCTGATTTAAGCCTGAGCTCTTGATATGGAAGTATATTTGCAGAAGTAAGGTTTTAAAATATTTCTTGATGAAGCCATCCAAATTTGAGCCGTAGTCCATCATTAT